CCATTTGCAACACTATGTCTTCGACTACCACTTGAAACAAAAAGGCAAGAGCTGTTTTGACTTCTTTAGATCTGATGCTTCATATAAAGCCCTCGATACGGCTGTTTTCCATAAGTTGTGTGCATCCATAATTGACTAAACGTTGACTCCTCATGCTGGATAATCTGTTGGAGTCAAAACAAGAACTTGATATGTCATCAAACCTCTTTCTTTAACCATCGGTATCCTATTATCTCTTTTGACAAAACCGACCTCTTTCATCAAGCTTGTTTCAAGAGCACTTTTCCACCAAACAAGGCAAGGTCACAACCACCTATACAGTTTGCTATCACCCGCAAAACGAAGAAAATCAAAGCCACCTGCTTTGATGTCCTTCGCTTGTTTTTTCTGTAACTCTAGTTAGTTTCTCACTACCTTAGAACAAACCCGATCAAGAGAAATATGAGATGCTTGCGATCAAAATGAATCATACCTCCTTCAACGAAATTGGTATGACACTAAGTGTAAAAAAATAAACTGAACAAATTCCTTCTGGAATTTGGAAGAAACGAAATAGAAGGAAAAAAGCGAACAAATTTCTTAGTCACAAAGTTAAACTAAAAAGAAGCACCATAAATTACATTAACAGAACAAATGACTAAAACTATTTACACTAATTAAGATAGTATACAATTGAAACTCTAAATCTAGAAAATAAACTAAGTAAAATAGAAACCTAATCAAATTCTAAAACAATAAAACAAAACTTAAATATGTAAACCTAATCAAATTCTAAAACAATAAAACAAAACTTAAATATGTAGCTTTCCTAAAATGTGCCCATATATAAAAACTAATTTAGAACTTCTTTGGTGATGAACTATTAACCCAACATTCTCTTTATTATATATTTTTTGCTTTTAGTATATATATATATATATATATATATATATATATATATATATATATATATATTATATATATTATATATATATATATATAATATATATATATATATATATATAAGCGTTGCGGAAATCGGTCTTGGTGGCCGATTAATCGATGATTAATTGTTTAGCAGTCTCGAATCGATTACGATTAGGAAATATTAATTTTATTAATAATTTAGGGTCCCTGATTAATCACCAATAATCCCCGCCGAGTTTAATTATTGCTTATCGTCAGTCGACTACCGAACGATTTTTACAACCTTGATATATATATATATATATATATATATATATATATATATATATATATATATATATATATATATATATATTGTGTGTGTGTGTGTGTGTATGTGTGTGTGTGTCACAACGAATCATACATTGTTTTTCTTCCAACAATTTTTTTTTGGATTCGTTAAGATTGATCCTTTAACAATGTAATACCGACAGAAACCATTCGGTTTTCTAGAAGCACTTTAAAAAATAACAAAAGTTATTAAATAAGAAATCCTAAGCACACAACCATTTAACTTAATTTTCTGTACATATTAAGTCCTTATTATGAGCTACTCTAGGTAAGTCGGGAAAATGATTAATAAAAAAATATATTTCCTAGTTTGTATACATTTAGTCCTTAATGTTTTTTTGTTGCAAAATAAGTCATTGTTGTTTTGCATACTATCAGACGATCATTAACGAGGTGTTGGAGGTTACCTGTGCTTATGGTCACCATGGTCTAGGTTGCTCGGTTTCTTTGATCTTTTGGGTTGGCTTTGGCCTTGTGTTATGAACTTCAGAACTTTTTCATATGATCTCATATTCTAATGATATTTATATCAATGCGTGGGTATATGAGTTTACCACAACTTTCGTTTAGATTTCTCCGTTAAAAAGTAATATATTTTTACTTTCAATCTTTATATCCATGCAAGCTTTATGAATGTACATATGAACATTTTTTTATATGATCATAAGAAAAAAATATATTATTTTTAATGTGAGTAATCTAAACAAAAGTTATATTAGACTCAAATAAAAACGAGTGGACATAAATATCAGTAAAATCTGAGATCATATGAATAAGCTACCACGTTCATAACAAGACCTGAGTCAAACTACAACACCGAAACAACCAAACAACCGAAGCCGAAGCCACAGTGGTCATAAGTACTAGTAGCCTTGAACACTATATTAATGATCGTCTCACGTAAAATGTTGTGAGAAAAACATAAATAAAACGGTTATAAGGACTGAATATGTACAAAAACAACAATGACTTATTTTGTAACACAAAATACTAAGGACTAAATGTGTACAAAATATAAAATATTATCTTATTAAGTCATTTTTTTTCTGCTTACATGGAATAGCCGGTTTTAAAGACTGAATGTATATAAAAAAAATAAACAAGTTAAATTGTCAGACGTAAAAAAAAAAAAAAAAAAAAAAAAAAAAAAAATGATTAAATGTGTAAAATATAAAAAAAATATATTACCTATTAAATCATTTTCCCCATACTAGATTCCTAAAAACTTATTATCTCTTGTATGAAGAATATGCTAAAATACAAAATATTTAGAAGTTGGACGACATATTTTAATAAATATAAAAGAAAATGAATAAACAGAAAATTATAAAAATTAAGACCCATATGTGGAAGAACTTTTTCCCTGACTTGTTTTTTTTTTTTTATATTAAGTGAAAAGTTTTTTTATAACTCAATGGCTAGTTTTATATTAAGTAAAAAATTTATATATTTCATATTCCGGTCTTTATTAAATCCAATAAAAAACAACACCTATTAATGTTTTCTTCCCTTTGGTTTAATCACTAACTAACATTTCGATTCACCTCCGGATGAAAGGAGAGGAGTCGTAGGGTTTGATGATCCAAGTTCATCTGCACCCTCCAAATCCGTCTCCCTCTCCTTCTGTTTGGCTTGGCCCCACATCACCGTATAAAATCCTCCGGCAACTATCATGGCTCCAATGGCACTACAAAAGTGCAAATACAAATTCAAGAGGATTAAATGTAAGAAATATCAACATATAACACAACAACCAATTTTCATTTCATCATATTACAAAATTTTCTTTTGTAAAATATAGCACACATAGCAACGACATTCAACTAGAAAGCAATTTTCACTGTTTACATGGGTAGATTTTTCAAAAGTTCATAATTCTGATAAGAAAAATAAACCCAAACCACAAACCTATAACTATTTAGATTTTCTAAAGTATGAACATGTTGATAGGGAAAAAAATTTAAGGACAATGATAAAGAAACAAAAAGTAGGATGTTCTATTAAGCAAATAAACTAACGCATGGTTTTATTGTATTACATTAAGCTCACTTCAAAATTCAAATTTCAAGAACAAGCCATAAATCTATGGGTAATTATGATGTAACAATAACCAACAAGCTCAAATGGGATTTAAAATTTGATATTGTGAAAAAAATGTTAATAGTTTACCTTCCTAAATAAAGTGAATCACCAAGAAATGTGACACCCATTATTGTTGCAATTACTATGGAGAGGGGAGTGAACATTGCCACAAAAACTGGACCTTTTTTCTTCAAGCACCAAATCACAGCACTACTACGAAATGCTGTGTTAAATACCGCCTTCAAATACAAAAAAAAATAAAAAATAAATAAATAAATAATCTTCCAACACCAAATTATGTTGCCCAAATCAGATAAAGTGATAAAATAACAAAGTACTTTTCATTTCTTGATTTTATTCTTGATCACACTCAAATCTACCGAAAACTAAAGTTAGTTAACAGGCTACGTGGATCATCATTTTGGTTTGTTTTCATCTATTACTAATCTAAGTCTTTAATATGCCACATAAGCTTATCAACTCGCAAAAATATTACTTGATGATAACCTTTTGAAAGTACACTAAGTAGATACTAATAGCGACCAAGGTAGGATGAATCCAAATGATATTGTCATTCTATTTAATTGATTATTGAGTATTGACTTACCCCCAAAACAACAGCAACCATTGCGATTCCTGGTTGCATCACCCAATCGCTTGGATTTTCAACTAGGAACAAAGATAGAAGTATACATTGAATTGTCCCAAATAGGCAGTAGAAAAACACAACCGTTACTTGATCCGGGTACTCTCTAGATGTAGTTGACTGGATACATAAAAGAGATATAAATCAAGAAATTAATAGTCCTTAAAGAAAACTTAAATTACAAAATTAGCTCTTAAAATCGCACATGGACTAAGTCCATTTACGATGTCGCATTTCCATCTGCGATTGCGCACATCTGTGCTTTAGGCACTTGTACGTTTGCAGATGGAACAGTCTATCTGCGATTTTGTGTATTCCATCTGTGATTTCGTAAAGATTTAGTATAAAAACGTTTTTTTTTTTTTTTTTTTTTTTTTTCATTTTCACTATATTTTTTAGACAACTCTCTCTCCCAAATAACAACAAAAATGATAATTTCTTGAAAAAAATTATATATAATAAGGTTGTTTTTTAGTCAAACTCTATCAATTTCGTAGTTTATAAAAAAAATCACAGGTGAAAAAGAAAGGAAATCGCAGATGGACTATGTCCGTCAGCGATTTTATGCTGGAAAAAGTATATATATACAACGAAAAAAAATATAAAAAATAAAAAACCACCTGCAAATGTACAAATGGCTAAAGCACAGACGTTTTTTAATCACTTGTACGTTCGCAGATGGGAAGGCAAAATCGCAGATGGCTTATACCCATCTGCGATTTTAGTGACTAAAAATGCAATGTTGATTTTTTTTTTGGCTATTTTCCACAAATTAATTAATCTATTCGGTTAAATTTGCAATTTTCTCATTATTCTTTGGGGCACTTACTTGTAAAACCTTCCATATTGCAGCAACGATTCCAGCCATAACAAGAATCAGACCTCCAAAAACCCAATCCGATGCTTGTGACAAAAGAAGATGATTATGTGAATTAGACGAAGAGTTTGTGTGAAAAATTTCAGGACCTTTATATAATGTGAACACCATTGCTCCCGATATTGCTACTATGGTTCCAAATAATTTCGCTAGACTACTTGAACTCCTTATGTCTATTTTCTCCATCCTAAAACATATATAAATCAGCTAAAATAGAAATAGGTTGAAAGGATTAAACAATCTACATTCAAGTGTTTTTAACTTTGTTCAAGCAAATTGGATCATTAAGTATTGTAATCATATCTAATGTTTTCTCTTTACGTATATATAAAATTATATGCGAAAAATGACCCTGTTATCCTTTAAAACTACCTGAAAACGACTGCAAGCAAGAATGTGTTTCCTGGAGCCAAGTTCCCGATAGCACTTGCCAAGGTTGGAGAGCTGTAGCCTAACCCTACATATACAAGAACCTGAAAAAGACAAAGCCTACAAAAAATCCATGTACATAAAATATATTTTATATAAGATCTTTAGAAAATACAAAATATCACCATTTGGTGCATTACTTACCCTAAAAGACCAAGGATGAAGAATCTAAAAACAATATGGAACGTGAGCGGAGGACGCCTGATGTTTCTATACAAGGGAACATTACAAAGACAGAACAAAACAAGTTATACTGTGTTTTGAGTACAAAAACAGAACAGAACAAGTTATACTGTGTTTTGCGTACTTTGGACGGGACATGAAATGACATGTCCCACCCAAAAAGATGGGAACAATATACTTTCTTTATTTATTGTTTTTGCAAATGACGTAAATACCTTTTCATCCTCATCTTGTGTAGTCCCATTCAGTATTGAGCTACATAACAAACGGGATCCAAATAGCCGAAGAAGGAGAATTACGAACCTAAAGATATGGATGATGAAGAATGGAAGAAGAATCATCGTTCCAAGGGCGTTATGGTAAACAATATAGACAAGATTGTTCATACCACCATTCATTGCCGCTTTTACTATTGTGAGCATGCTCATATCCAAGCATTCTACCATTAACATAATAACGTAAGGAAGCACCTCCTTGGTCCATAACAGCATCTCGTTTGTTGTCAGTGCCATATCTTCTACTATTTGAATATCGTGCCAAATATATTGGTAGAAGTATGCATTATAGGGGAATCCAAATTATGTGATTTTGTTAAATTTGCATCTCATTTCCATGAGATTCCAGTTTTGATACCTTTTGTCTTGATAAAAGATTAAGGAATTTAAAGTAGAGACAAACTCAGAAGCATTATTGTGATGCCGTCTTGTATTTTTACATAATAAACAAGGGTATAATGTTGTTTTTTTCTATTGTCTGTAAGCTTCCACTCACGAAGTGCAAGGACGGATATTAGGTAAAAGAAAATCCATGTGCAAACTAATATATATATATATATATATATATATATATATATATATATATATATATATATATATATATATATATATATATATATATATATATATATATATAGGGTCAGGTTCATTTGAGACCACCTATATTTTGTGAGACCGTGAGACGCATTTTTTTTATTTTATTTTTTTTTATTTTTTTAGTTAATTCATGTTCCAAAAATAATATTTAAAAAAAGTATTTTAAAATTTTTCTATTTATTTTGCATTTTAAAATTATTTTTAGAATATATACAGTGTAATATTCTATTTAGAATATTTCACATACTTTTCAAAAAAAAAAATAGAATTTTTTTTAATTTTTTTTAGTTAATTCAAGTTCCACAAATAATATTTAAAAAAAGAATTTTTAGATTTTTCCATTTATTTTGCATTTTAAAATTATTTTTTAGAATATGTCAGTGTAATATTCTATTTAGAATATTTCACGTATTTTTCAAAAAAAAAACGGAATTTTTTTTTATTTTTTTTTTTTTATATATTTTTTATTTTTTTTAGTTAATTCAAGTTCCGAAAATAATATTTAAAAAAAGAATTTTTGGATTTTTCCATTTATTTTGCATTTTAAAATTATTTTTAGATTTGGTCTCACGGTCTCACAAAATTAGAATGGTCTCAAATGAACCTGAACCTATATATATATATATATATATATATATATATATATATATATATATATTATATATATATATATATATATATATATATATATATATATGGTAAGGATCAAATGAGAATACCTGAAAGACTGAGAACGCGAGAACAGTTATGAACCAACGAATATATAAGGGTATATTAGTAATTGTATATTTTAATTAAATTAAAATAAAATAAAATTTAATCAAATTCCTTTAGATTTAGGATCATTTACCAAAAAAAATATTCTATTTTTTATTTTTCTTATTAATGAAATATAAAAAATATTTTTCCAAACTTAATTTTAAAACTGAAAAATAAATTCTAAAAAATTATTTTTTGGGATATATACAGTAAAGTCCCAATATTTTCATCGATTTGACAAGAAAAGTCTTAAACTTTATTTTTTTTACAGTAAAGTCCAAATTACCGGCACTTTTTGACACTTTTACCATTTTTTCCCGGTTAGCCGGTAATTAGGACTTTTTTGTCAACAAAATAAAGTTTAGGACTTTCTTGTCAAATCGTCAATTAGGACTTTACTGTCAAAAAAATAAAGTTTAGGACTTTTTTGTCAAATCGTTGAAAATATTAGGCCTTTAGTGTATATATACTTTTTTTGGTTAGAAATTTAATGGTATCATACTCTTTAAGCATAAGAGTTATTGAAACATTCTCTAATAAGTTAGATCCTATTGAAATCTTTTACGTTTGCTTCTTGTTAAATCGTTTTTTTAATCTCAACAAACCGACATTGAAAAAAATTGAGATAATCAATAAAGAAAGAAATAACTAGGATTGTGTTGGCTTTTTTCCAGTCTCAAAAATGGAGAAATTAGAAACCTAAAAAGATGAAAGTGTCCTAGGTTTATACAAACACAAACAACACATGCCTAGTCACACCCTTTTGACTAGGCATGTGTTGTTTGTGTTTGTATAAAGCCAGGACACTTTCATCTTTTTAGGTTTCTAATTTCTCCATTTTTGAGACTGGAAAAAAGCCAATGCAATCGTGGTTATTTCTTTCTTTCTTGATTATCTCAATTTTTTTCAATGTCGGTTTGTTGAGATTAAAAAAACGATTTAACAAGAAGCAAACGTAAAAGATTTCAATAGGATCTAACTTATTAGAGAATGTTTCAATAACTCTTATGCTTAAAGAGTATCATACCATTAAATTTCTAACCAAAAAAAGTATATATACACTAAAGTCCTAATATTTTCAACGATTTGACAAAAAAATCCTAAACTTTATTTTTTTGACAGTAAAGTCCTAATTGACGATTTGACAAGAAAGTCCTAAACTTTATTTTGTTGAAAAAAAAGTCCTAATTACCGGCTAACCGGGAAAAAAGGGTAAAAGTGTCAAAAAGTGCCGGTAATTTGGACTTTACTGTCAAAAAAATAAAGTTTAGGACTTTCTTGTCAAATCGATGAAAATATTGGGACTTTACTGTATATATCCCTATTTTCCCCTGATTTCAAGTAAATTATATATCCATCGTAAATAAATAAAAAACTAAACTATCAATCATAAATGATTATATTATAATTTGACTTTGTACACTTATATCGACACAATTCTACTTAATGATTAAAATCACTTTGAGATCATGTATTCATTTTTTAATGCACATTTTCATTCATAAATATAAAATAATATAGTTTTTTAATAAATACAAATATAATTGTAATTGAATAAATAACATCATAAAAATAAAAAACTCAATACATTTGTAATCTTAATTGAATAGAACACAAATTAGAGATAAAACATCAACTTTGCAAAAAATAAATAAACAAAACACATTTACAATCATATATGAATACAATTAATCACAAATGAAAATTACAATGTCTGAATATAAATAAATTTCGGCTCCTTCAAAGTTGTTGTCCATATGCATTCATCCTTCATCCTTATAACCATTTAGTCCATCCGTTTTAACTCGATCAATCTACAACAAATCAAAGAATTTTTTTGTATTATTTGTTCACAAAGTGCTTAACTCATTAACCGATTTGTTTTTTAAATTGCATTATTAAATCAAAATTTAATAAACAGAAAAATAGATTATCATTAATGAATAAAATTAAAAAAAAAAATCAGAAAATTGAAAATCAATCTTACAACAATAAAAAATGATTACAGTGTATTCATCTACTTAAAAGTTGATAGATTATAATGTATTTTTTTATTCAACATTGATTACTAACTTAGGCTTACCTACACATAAAGGACTAAATTGAAAAGATTTTATCCCTTGTTTTAAAAGAAGTAGAAAACGGCAAAAGCACAGCAGTTGCATAATTTAAAAAATATTACATTCCACTTTCATCTGTAATCAACGATTCAAAAAATGATTATAGAAAAAAATATCAACTATATTTCATCTGTAAACCGATCTAATCACGTTATAAAAACTATCAATTTCAATTTACCTTCACTATCAAATTCTCGGTATTTACTGCAACCATTTGATTGATTTTCCCATTCCTCGCATTCATTACCTTTAATAATCAAGACTCATTAAAAATCGCAACAACCTTCTCCTTTTTCTTATTGAAATGAATTACAGTATTAATCAAACTACAACAAAACAATTCACAAATCAGACGAAAAAAAAAAGCATACCTTGATCCTAACAACAAACTCAGATTCACAGCATCATGCGATACAAATTAGGGAGAAAGAGAGCAGCGACGACAACGCACGAAGAAAGAAGAAGAATGAGCCAACATAAGTAGGTTGTGATGAAAAAGAGCATCAGGGCGGAGATTAGGCAGGGACGACAACGCAAAATGGTGCTCACTTCGGCCTTGAAAATCAATTCAACACCTTGAGCCTCTTGATCTTCTCCATTCATCGAGACCTTAATAGAAAATGATAAAAGATGAAGGTTGTGATGATGGTTTTGGAAGTGTATGGTGGTGACGGCTCAATTAGGGTTTAATGGGAGAAATTTTTATTTAGAGAGTGAGAAAAAAAAGGATATGTGAGGGGAAGAGAGAGATTCCAACAACTTGACAAAAATAGGCTAATATGTAATGACCATATTACCCTTTAAACCATTAAAAATTTACAATCTCATCCCATGACTTTTAGAAATTTACAATTTTCATCTCATGACTTTATAAATTATATTAGCCTTAGATCGTAATATTTGAAGAGCTCAGATCTGTTCTCGCGTTCTCAACCTTTTTGGTGTTCTCATTTGATCCTACTCCTATATATATATATATATATATATATATATATATATATATATATATATATATATATATATATATATATATATATTGAACCCCTTGGGCAACAGTACTTTGATGTCATTGGTTGCTTTTTTTTTTAACCTTTTTTTGGTTGTTTCTGCGTTTATTTATTCACTAATTTTTTTTAATAGTGGATTACATGTGTCTTAACCTTACCTGTGATAGTGGATTACATGCTATCTACGTGTTCATTTTCCTGCTTCTTTTCTTTTGCTATATCAGCGTATTTCACCAACTACTCTGGATGCTTCCACCTCCTCCCCAAACCCCTCTCTCTCTCTCTAAACTCATCCACGTCTAAGAAAATCAGTCCTCCACTATGTGTTATCCATTTGCTATTATTCCCAATTTGATTACGGTTGCCATTCCACGATTTTCCATCAACTGGAGTATGGAGCCATTCATATTTTGATGATACTCTTACCAAAGTAGCCGGTTTCCTCTAGTTCTCTTATTCCCCTTTTCCTCCGATCCAACACCACTTTTTATACTAGGGTTTTTAGTTCTGAATTTCAAGTTGTCACTGCACGCGAATCACATAACAATAGTTCTTGGTATAAGAAAGAGTTTCATAGTACACTAGTAATACCAAAATCCATATAGAGATTGAACAATTTAAATCGACATTGCTACAGCTGAACAAGCTTGAAGCAGATTTGGCAGACTTGCAGGATTCCGATGGTGTTTACAACGTCGGTGCATTGTGGTTACGGAACCAGCTTGGCCGGATTACCATGATCATTTGCTGATGACCAACAAGTCTTTGTCATCTGGAAAGTCTTAGGGAACTGATTCGCCGGCGATGATAAAATCAAGATCTTCATC